AATAAGGATAGAAGATGGGTCTTATGGGAAGAGGTTTTGTTAAAAAGAGCAGGAGAAGTTGGTGGTAGGTGTATCGCAAACACTTTCTTTATATCTAATTCATTTATTATTAATTCAAGTCTAATAAATAATGTCATGTCAAGTTTATGTCATATATGAATCGTATATAACCGACATATCTAAACGAGTTGTATCATATATTTATTTTAATTACTTTCACCCATATCCGATTTATTTATCTATCGTGTTGTGTCAGATCTATTCATTTGCGAAATGAGTGACTTAAAGAAGAATCGAACATTTTAATTTCTTGTTATGTTAACAGGTCGTACTATTTTTTAACACCCGTAATATAAAACATGAAGCGAATTAGTGGAAAACTTTTGTTCATTTCTAAAGTATGAAAATTATCAACAAAATGTGTAAAAATTTATATGTGGATAGCATCTCCTCCAAAAAATTTGCAGTTCTGCCTGTTATTATGATGCTGCCCGATTCACTACTATTCATAACAATGCAGATGATAAACGCATACTTAGGACTGTTAAACGATCTGATCAGTTCGCGTGCAAGATTGGGTTGATTTTAGTTCAACTTTGACTTTATCTTTTTATAAAATGAGTCGAATTTGAACAAATATTTAAGCTCATTTAGTATTCAAGCCGAGCCGAGTCCAACCTATTAGTGAACTGGCTCATTTTACTTTTTGTACATAGTATACATATAAACTATTACATATCTTAAGGTTATTTCAATAAAATTAGCAAAAATTTTAAATTCGTATGTTAAACATATAAATTTAAGTTTGTATGTTTTTGTTGTGATTTAGAAGTATTTTATGCTCAAATTTGTGTGTATTTTTATATTTTTTGATTGGGTATTTAAAATTTATAGATTAATGGCTTGTTTTAGTTCGAGCTTGACTTGAATTTGGTATGTGCCGGACTTGAACAATATTTTGAACTTGGTAGGTAAGGCCGAGTCAAGTTTGAATAATCTTTAAATAACACAAACTTAAGCATAACTAAATTCGAAAAGTTCGACTCGATTAACACCCATATATACGTACTAAATGTTTGTCAAATGGATGAACAGATGATACAAAAGATTGATGTCCCCTATCTAGCAGTAAGGCAAAGCATATGGGGATTTGATACTTTCTTCAAAGCCCAGATATTAGGGGATATTGGTAGGGCAAAATGTCCCCTTACGTGAATCACTGAACCCCTTCTTTTTGTTTGTAGGCTATCTTCTTTTGTTGGTTCTAGCTGGTAGGCCACATTGAACCATGTTAGTGTAAAGCAGTTTTATTTTTGGGTCAATGTTTTCCTTCTTATCGGAAATCCAACGAAGCACCTTTCTAAATTTCGTCTTTCAGACAAATTCAAAGCTGTATTAGAAGATCAATTGTTTTTTTAACTTATTTCACCCTTTCTGACCAAGGAGAGTTTGTTTTACCCAACTCCCTTTTTAATTACAAGGCAGAAAATTCCAACCCAACATTCATTAGTTAGGTTAGGAATGAAGTATAAAGAGTGTCTTACCTTAGTAAGCATCTACTCCTATAAAAAAGTGAGACTTTACTACTATAATAGAGGGTAAAACCGACTTTTAAGATGTAATTTTACAATGATAGGGCAAGTTTCAATCTAATTCAATGAATAACTTTTTAAAAAAAACTTGGAGGAAACTATTATATGGCATCACGAAAAATGGCAAGTGTCATAATTTTTTGAGACTGTCCAAATTAGGATGAAGACTAGGTGACAAAGCTGGTACTGCAGTGAAATTTATAATTTTTTTGAGGTAAAAGTTGCAATTGAAAAATACATGATTGATCATAAAATATCATGATCAATCATGGAAGTTTCAACTTATAAAGATAAANAATTTTTTGAGACTGTCCAAATTAGGATGAAGACTAGGTGACAAAGCTGGTACTGCAGTGAAATTTATAATTTTTTTGAGGTAAAAGTTGCAATTGAAAAATACATGATTGATCATAAAATATCATGATCAATCATGGAAGTTTCAACTTATAAAGATAAAGTCATAATTTTTAAAGATTCAAGTTAAACATTTTAAAAGCGAAGTTGTAACTGATTAACGGTATTCATGATCGATTATTAATTTACTTCACACAAAGTATAACTTTTAAATATGTAACTTAGATGGTGTTTAATAAAACTGAAAGATAAAAATGTAACTTGGATGATTTTTAAGCGTTGAATGTTAAATTTTTTAATTCGTAGAATCTTTGGTATCAAATAAAATTTAAGTATTTAATTGAATTAAACTGTTTAACAAATATAAATAATTCAAGTCTAAAAATTAGTAGTATCTTAATTTTGCCTTTCTCCTTAAGTACAGTGGTGGTGGTGGGTATTGAAAAATTAAAAGTGTAAATAGATTTGTTTTATCAATGGAACCCACAAACCACTCACAATGGGCAATTGCTGACCAATTGAAAAACTAAATTGAGAGTATATTTGTTCGGTATAAAAAGTTTATTGACTAACATTTTCAGTATTAATNCACTCACAATGGGCAATTGCTGACCAATTGAAAAACTAAATTGAGAGTATATTTGTTTGGTATAAAAAATTTATTGACTAACATTTTCAGTATTAAGTAATAAATAAGTGAATTTTTACTTAAAATTTTATCCAATTTTTAAGTAATGCTTAAAATATTAAGTGTTATGAATTTTATGTTACCAAACATATTTAATTCATTAAGTGTTTAAAAATATTCAATTTATACATTAAGTGATGTTATCAAATAACCCTTAAATTTAAAAAAATAAAAATTTTAGATACGGTACCAATNAAGTAATGCTTAAAATATTAAGTGTTATGAATTTTATGTTACCAAACATATTTAATTTATTAAATGTTTAAAAATATTCAATTTATACATTAAGTGATGTTATCAAATAACCCTTAAATTTTAAAAAATAAAAATTTTAGATACGGTACCAATTTTTTTTTCAATACCATAAAATTACACCAAAGGTAGAGTGAGAAATTGACCAAAAAGCAAAACACAAACCACCACCAAAGCGAAAATTTTGGTTAAAGTTTAGCTTTAAAAATATATTTAATTCTTTATGGTTTTTTGGAAGTCTAATGTATGTTTACATGGGTGTATAAAATTGCTAATACCCCCCTCTTTCAAATTATACCTCTAAATCAGTTAAAAAAAATTAATTTCTAAATACACAACATAAAATAAGGTACGTCTATGATATTATTAAAATATTTTTAAATAAAAATATTATTCATTTTGAAAGACTTTTATCATTTCCTTTTCATTGACTAGTGGCATCAAAAGAAAACAACTCAATTTTTCTAAAAACTTTGAAATTAAAAGGGCCCTGCAAATGGTTTGACTAGCTCCAGGAATATGGGGGCAGAGACAATGACTACTGTGATTGGGCCCCCATCCTAGGACTGAAGCCCCCACCCACGTGTGACATTTGGTCAAGCCCAAATAATTATTTTACAATTACTGCTACGTGGGCCTACCCATCACAGTCACACAAACTTCCCCCCCACTAAATTTGACCAGGTCCGTGATCAAAAAATAAAAAATAAAAATTGACAAGGTCAAAATGAATTTTGTGGTTGGGCAGCACCGAGTCAATGGATTGGAGAATTTGGTCATTGGGCCTTCGTACGCCAAGTTTTATAAACTTGGGCTATAAAGATTTTAGCCCACATTTTGTTGCTGGGCAACACGAAGTCAATGGATTAGTGAATTTGGGTCATTAGGCCTTCTGATAAATGAACTTGGGCTAAACATATTTTGAGCCCAAAATCTTCTCTGCACAGTGCTCAATGGTAAATAAGTCAACCAGCATATTCTCCGATGCCAAAATAACTCCATTTATCTATGGTTAATGTTATCCTTATCAAATCTCCGCCCCAAATAATTTGGCATAGTTTCTCACCATTAGATAAGTGGGTCCAATTAATATTCAATGGTGAAGATTGTGCCATATCATTTGGGATAAAATATTTGATTAAAAAAATTAGTAAGCATAGCTTTTTCATTAATTCACACCTATCTATCTCTTTTCTCTCCGTTATCTCTGTCTTATTTTATCTTAGTTTACTTTAATTTCAAATTATATAATTTAAAAATATAAAAGTAAAAATTAATTATTATTTAAAATATAACTATTACATGATTAATGTTTAATTTTTAATATTATAGAGTGTTTGCAGATACGAGATTATTGCTATCAGGATAATATAACACATACAACAAAAAAATTGTGACAAGAAAACACATATTTGGTTTGGACTATATTGCTACCTTTTAATTTCATTGAAGGTGCAATGTGGTTCATGTCTCGGCAGAGGAAAAGTATTAAAAAAAAAAGGTGCAATGTGAGAATTTTAATCTTTTATGATAAAAATTGAGAATTTGAGATTCTTTTAGGGTGCAAAATATTATTCATCCATTTTATAATTGCTTATTAATTATTTTATTTGGCAAATTATACACCAAAGTCTAGCTCATAATTTTTTGACCTACTTAGAATTTATATTTTCACTATATGAAAAAGGCAATGAGTCGAACAGTCAGAGTTTGCCCAGAAAAAGTTAAGATAATAAATTTAAATATAAAAACAAGTCACTTTGTGCATATAATAATAATAAATATTAGCTAATTACCCGGTTTGTCTTTGTTAGACCCCATTGATTGGGATTAAGATTATTAGCTCACTTGCAATTGAATGGATTTCATGAGATTCCCAAGCATGCTTATGAAAAATGGATTGTAATTTAGTTTCCAAAGTATACACTGTCTTCCACATTCTTTAAAGGCTAGTCTCCCTTGCTCATCATGAACATACTCTAATTTTGTTCAAACTAAGATGATAGTCGTTGAAATCAAGAAAATAATCGGAGCAAGTCTAAATACGGAAAAAAAAAAAAAAGTATACACCGTCCTCTATATACTCGGTAGAAAATGGTGAAAGCAGTGCTAATTCAAAGTTGCATGTGCAAAGCCACTGAGATCTTTTCCAATTTTGGAGGCCCACGAGGAGCAGGCAATGCCACGAACCTGGGGATTTCATCTCCTGGCATCAATACTGTTAAGCTTTCTTCATTCTTTTTCTCTTCTTTCTGTAAAATAAAACCAACACATATAAGGCCCTACAACCCAATAGAGAATTGATTCAGAGAGAGTTGATTTTGATTTGAATGATTTGTAATCGTTGATTAAAAAAAATAAAGACAAAATAACGAAAAGTAACATTCCGGCGTCGTAACTAACTTTTTTTTTTTTTTTTGGGTAAATATCAGCTGTCACTTAAAGCATAAAATGCCGCTTAAAGAGTGTCAATCTAGCTCTGTGTCACTCCGGATTATGTCACATTCAAATTGTACCATTTCAATTTATGTTATTTCGATTGTTCGTATCAATATTTATGTTAATATAAAATTATCTAATTTTGGAACAATTCATACTATAAAAAATATAAAATGTCCATTTTCTCCTAACAGTATTTGCTAAACTTGGTATCCGTTTCTAAAACTAAACTAATCACTTATTGTAATATTATTTATTATTCCTGTTAATGAGTGATAACACCGTCCTACCGGAATGAATTAATGGCAAGAAACAATTAATTTAGGGGAGGAGAGAGAGAGAAATCAATTAAAGCAGCAGATTGGAAAGCATAAATCTACCAGAATGAAATAATAGCAAAAACAAAAAAGAATCATCAGATAGATAGAGAGAGAGAGAGAGACATTGATGGGTTGAGGGGGTGAAAGAGCAGCATGTGGTGGGGTGTCGTTGGTGTAGTCATGAGAGGAGGATTGAAGGCAGCTTCTGAGCTTATCCCAGTAGTAGCAGCAACAGAAGAAGCCACTCATGCATAATAACAAGAGAAGCAGAAGAGCTAGGCCTAGAGGGAACCCTATGGCCGGCTGAGAAGAAGACCCATCTCCACTATTTTCCATCTCACTTCCTCTGCCTTCCACCTAATCTCATCCATGAACTAATTCCCAAAGCATGAGGTATCAATACAGCATACCACAATCAGTTTTGCTAACTTGAGAGAGAGAGAGAGAGAGAGATTATATAAGGAGGTGGTAATGAGACTTGCAGGTGGGGGAGGCTGAGGATACTTTTCACAATATATATAGTGCCTGTGGGTTGATTGGAGGCTGAAACAACACACCAAGTATAGGTTTAATATGAAAGTAATACTGTTTAGATCTAAAAACTTGATCAATTGGCCTAATAAATGAGTCTGTTTTTTAGCATAATGCAATTTATGCGGTATAAATATTGGCTCCAAACTTTTCACCGTTGAACAAAAAAAAAAAAAAGAGTTTATTCTCATCCTTAATTTATTGTGGGAGTTGAGTACATCTATGCCCAAGTTTCTTTCTTAGGTCTGTTGATTAGATGCAGCTTCAATATTGCGGCATTTGTTGAGTGGGTTTTATTGGTGAAGAGACAATAAGCAATTGATATTATAACAATTGTTGACTCATAGTTTGGGAGTAAATTACAACACTACAGGATCCTTTTTTTTTTTTTTTTTTTTAATTTTAAAAAAGGGTGGGGACAAGAAAATCGTTCAAAGACCACCCGATAAGTCTTTACTGATGGGATCATAAGATTTTTAACCATGATCGTTACTCCTCTCGAAAATAAGCTTAATTAGGTTAGTATAATGATCAATCACCAAATTTTAATATGAACTCCAATAATTGAATCTCCAACTTAGACGATATCCCGCTGAATTACCCCGCTCAGTGATTTACTTTATCTAATATATATTAACTTGGCCTGACTTCAAATTTGTCATGGGATAGATGCCAAAGTTTATCCAATTGCTTATCTATTAGTAGAAGAAGACAAACAAAATTGATTTAGTTGCAACTTGAAGAAGCCACATCCACTTTTAATAGATGGCTCACCACTAAATCAGATTTAATTAAGGTAATAATAATTTTTTTTTTAATAAAAATCTTTTGAATCAGTCTTTTTTTTTTCTGAATCATTAATATGGCAAAAACAAAAGATGTATGCCATCATCTGTGCACCGATTAAACTATGATTTTATGATGTCAAGGAAGGTTTCATCCCTCATTCGACTATCGAATTAATCTGTGCAATGAATGATCCTCAAAATTTTTATGCATACATGTGTACAATAAAAAAAAAAGATTAATTGTATTCTTTTATTAAAAATGAGCTTGATTGTAATTAATTATACTTTAATAGTTTTGTATGACTTTATTATTAATTACTAATAAAATTAATGTCAAAATTACATATATGTATACTAAAGAATATATCAAGTATTTTTTTATTTTAAAATTTTGTGAGCAAAATACAAATCTCTACTAGGCTTAAACTCAGTTTTAAAGTGCACATCAATAATAAATGGTTAAATTGATCAAAAAATTTAAAATAAACCCAATATGTCTAAATTAATCTGAGTATGTCCGACGTGTGTTCATTGTTAGTCACTTAGTTATGAGCGTGTACTAATTGATATGATCAAAAAATAGAGTAATGTGATAAGGACCTAATTTGAGAACCTAATTTGGATTAATTATGAATTTGAAGATTAGATGAAGCCTACTTTTAATCCAATGACTATACCAAATTAGATCTCTAAATTAAATTTCAATAATATTTTTCAAGAAAATCATAGAATTGATATAATTAAATATACTTAAGAAAATATAATTCATAGAATTCCAATAATAAGCTCTTTTTTTAGACTAGCAAAAATATAGAGTCTTATTTGTTTATCTACATTTAGAAGTCTAACTCACTCTCTATTCTCTTTTTAATAAATAAAAAAAATAAGACATATACTTTCTTCATTCAATACTATTTATTATAAGGTTATTTTGTTATTATAGTCTATTGGAGTCCTTTAAAAATTTTCACCATCTATTTTAAATTTTTATAAAAAAATGCTCTCTATTCCCAAAAAAAAAATGCGCTCTCTCAAATAGGGAAAAATATTGAGTGTAATTATTGTACCATGTCAGCAGTGTTACGTGGTGTAACGATTAATTAATAGTAAAAAAATTAGTTAATGGATCCCGCTAAAACTCATACTCATCCAACCATGTCATACATAACTATCTCTATGGTAGAAAGTGAATCCTATTTTACCTTTTTGTTTATTCTTTTCGTATTAGAAGGTTCCACCATGTTAATAATGTTGTCATGGTGTAACAGCTATACCCAATATTTACTCCTCAACTAGAAAATACTGTAAGAGATGTTCTTAGATATCAAAAAATGCAAGACTCTGATATTTCTTGACAAGTGGAATTTTGAGGAATAGACTAAAATACTTATGACCCAAATGCTGTGGATTTGGAATGATTACTGCAAATATAGATTATCTGCTAAAATCAACTTTACCCCATTTGATGATTAAGTTCTACATCATGTTTCATGTTTCAAAAATCTGCACATAATACATGTATGTTAATAGATTAAAGTGTGTGATGGATAACATCGAATAATAAAAATACCATTTGATATTATTTTGTAATTTTTAGGAAAAAAATTATATTTCTCTTTATAAGAAAATTAGTTTCTTCGCAAGCTAGATAATAGTGTAGGTATGACACTCTCCTATAATGACAGAAGTCTCAAATATTGAATTAATTAGTTTTTATAGTTGTATTTTGGATCTAATTTACTAATTGTTTGAGTCAGTTTACGGGCACTTCAATTAATCTATTTCTTGGTCCGATCAAAGGCAAATTATTCACACCGAGATTAAGATATTCGTGAGGCATAATAATAAACAAGTATACCCGTTAAACCAATCAAATTAATAGATAAATACAAAATCAATTAAACACACAACAACCTAGATAAACATGTTTCTTATGTACGAAATAAATCCAACTATATAGAATTATAAATGAATCAAGTATGAATTGAATAAACTTTCAGATAACACGACTTAAAAAAAACATAAATTCTTGTTGGGCATGAGTTTTCAGTCCAAAAGGCGCACCTAATAGGTGGAGTGACCCTCCCTTATATAACATAAGATTCTTTCATCACCAATCAATGTAGGACTCGTTTGACACCTTAATAATATCCCTCTCAAACGATACAATGGATGACCATCACTATTCTCTCATTCGACATAAGAAGTCGAATCCACATGGTGGCGTGGGCCATGATTCTGATACCACTTGTTGAGCATGGATTTTCAGCCCAAAAGACACACCTAATAAGTGGAGTGACATGTTCCCTTATATAACTCAAAACCCCTTCATCACCAACCAATATAAAATTGTTGAAAAAATTGAATACAAATAAAGTGAGTAACAGGGTGAGGCGCGGACTAGGTCGCTCTCCTAAGACGATTTGCGTCCTTTTATGAAAGAATCATAGTACAGAAGGCAGTGACGCGCCGTCCCTAAGATACAACAACCTAGTTTATTGACTGTTGTTTCACTCAAATCTACACAATCGAATGAAGCAGAAACTTCACACACCTTTGAATATTGCTCAAAAACTTATATATTAAGAAGATAGTTGATATCAGATTGTATAGATACATACTGAAATATATATATGTATATATATATATATATATATACACAAATAATATATATGTTTAATAGGTTGTAATTACTTTTATATTTAATTGGATAATAACTCAAAAAATATAGTTGTTGGAATACTAGTCGTTGGAAATTTTTGATATTCGTATCTTTTCCGCTAGTCTCACCTCTGCGCACGTGAGAGTCTCAAGATCTCTCTTTTATTTAAATGCTAGATAACACTAGTATATATATATATTCAAGTACTTTTGGATATTTAGTCATTATAAGATTTAATTCCGACACATTAAAAACACGTATTTAGTTAAAAAAATTCTGACAAAAATTCATTCCACACCTCAACAAATTCGACAAAGCACGACCATTAACTGCAATAGGTAATAGTAACATTAGATGAGAGAGTGGATGCATTTGTTCCATTCTTTTCACTTATCCAAGTCATGTCATCACATGTTGGAGCCAATGATGCATCGACAGAGAAAGTGGGATGACGAACTAACCTACTGCGCAATTCTTCCATATACAAGTAATCACATACCGACAATTTGGAAAAAGAAAAAAGGATGCTAGAGAGGGATAGTCCCAAATCATATATCTTTCATAGTCTACGTTGCTCTTGTGTCAGTGTCCTGTCCTAACTTCACTGTTCATAAATTCCACCACCAGCACCACCCAAAACTAGGGTCTTGACAGTCACAGATGCCTCTGTCTCAAGACCCTTTAAGTCCTGTTCACTTTGTTATATACATGGGTTTTTCAGAAGTGTTGATCACGGTTTAATGCACGGCTACCTATATATTTATAGATCATTGTTATAAAGCACGTCTCAATGCACGAATTTTTTTGTTATTACACGATTTAGAGATAGATTAGATATATATAGTTTTATGTGTAAGCAAAACACTTGTTTTTGACTCCAACATATGATGCACATGTCACAGTGTTATAATTTTTCTATTTTGAAAAGACTTTTTCCTCCATATGACATATTTAGAAGTGGCAAAAGAGGAAGTTCAGAACTCTAAAGAATAGTTCAAGTGATAATAAAGATGAGTTATAAGTATAGACGTCCTGAGTTCAAATACGGCTAAATGACGTGTGACTCATACTATGAACGAAACTTAAATTTTAAATTTATATCTATACTATTTATAAATATCAGTATCTGCAAAAAAAAATTAATTTTCTATTTTATCTCTAATTATTATGATAAAGTCAATTATACACATCTACGTACTTTTATCTAATTTTATTTTTTACTCTTATTTGATTTTCACTTGATTTTGCACACTTTTATAGATACTTTTAAATTTTTTTGAACTTATTTATTAATAATACAGTTACATACAATTTTGTAAGTGAAGTCTTATATATATTAAATTATTATATACATATAATTACTAGATTAAATTTCACGGTCAAATATATGTTATATTTATTTTCGATATACAATAATATAATACTATTATAAATGATCTAATTAATTTATTTAATAAAATAAAAAAGAGATTTCTAAATAAATAACAGATTAAGCACTCAAACATATAGAATAAAGTAATAACTATATTTAGCAATAATTAAAATTCATTAATTATTTGACATCTAATTTATTATTTAATTTAATTACAAATATAATTCATGTTTATAAAAAAATACTATTTAAATTTATTTCTGGTGCACTACACATCGTAATTGCTAATAAAATAAAAGTTAGACTAAAAATTAATTATGTCAACCACGTCATTCAATTCCTATTTTTATTTTATTTTATTTTTGTTAGTCTAACACAGTCCAAAAATAAAGTAATCATTTGCATGGAAAACTATACATTGTCCTATGCTATGATGATGCAGTGCTCGGTCTTCGATTCCAAAATTCTGGTTCTGGTCATTATCAGTATAACAACGGGCTGCTTTTTAATACCATTTTCAACTCCAAAGTGGAACGTCTAATTATTCTATGATCCGGATCCACTTACTTTTCTTATCACTTTCGAAGTATCCGTCACATTTAATAGCGTATTTTTAGAGAAAATATTCAACGGTTATATCACATCAATATTGTTACGTAATATAATCGTTAAATAATAGATGTACAAGCGAACATATGAAAATTATAAAATTTTGTGATCATCGTTCCACGTAATATAATAAATCACTCCAATTGAAAGAAGTGGGATCATTTTATTCATTTTTTTAAGTATTCATAGTAAAATTATATGAAACTCTAAGAGATAATTCAAGTGGTAACAGTGACGAATTATAAATTCAGACGTTTTAAATTTGAATCTTGATAATTTNAACTCTAAGAGATGGTTCAAGTGGTAACAGTGACGAATTATAAATTCAGACGTTTTAAATTTGAATCTTGATAATTCTATAGGGTTAGACAATGAAAGATTTATCCCTCATAAATACCCTAATGCGCGTAAGTTAGTCCAAATATCTCTCATCGTTAAATTAAAAAAAAAAAAAAAAGTTAAATTATATTCCACCCTGAATGTGATATAACTGTTATATTGAATATCTATTCCATGTTTAGATTACTTTCGAGCTTGAAATTGGTTTAAATTTGATCCAATCCAATTCAAATCTGCAAATAAAAAAGTAAAAATTGAAAGTGAATCCCCCTATATGTACTTGCTTGGAGATAAGTTTGATAAGAAAACTTATAGGGAGTTAAGTCCATATTTAAAATTATATATACTGACCTAAGTCCATTTTTTTTATCTCAAAAATACTCCTAACGGTATTAACTTTGGTCAATTATGAAAAGACATAAGTTAAATGTTTGAGATATATATGGTAACAAACTGATCAATTTTTTATGAAAACTGTATATATCAAAATATTATGTTTCAATTACGTTAAAATTAGTGGTCTATTAATTTAATTTCGGATTAGAAGATTCCATTAAAAATTCCAATTCAAATTTAAAATCTGAATCAAGCACGTCATTCGTGTGTCTATAACAGACTTTTGCTTTTTATTGGATTTAGAATTGATTATTTTTTTGTGCTAAATAAAGGTAAAAATTTGAATGTTTTTGAATTTTTCCAGGAAACCTGTTGTGTTCTTCTTCTTCATAACATACCGATACTTTATTTTTATTTTATAGGAGTGTCGAAGGTGATAGCAGTAGTGACGGGAGTTTGAATTTTTATGTGATTTCAGTTCAACCTGCTAGTTCTTGATTTTCAGATGTATTTTTATTTTAATTTGCTTTTTTTGTATATCGTGATTAACGGTGCTGTTTTGAAATTACCGTAAATTGAAAGTTATTTTGCCGGAATTTCGATGTTACTAACCGAAATTTGCATTTCAATTTTATTTACCGGAATTATTTAATTTTTTTTTTTTGAAACTAGGTTCTAAGTTTTGTTTTTCATGTTATTGGTAGTGTTGTATTAGAATTAGAATTAATTATTTTCGTTTTTTCTTTGTTCTTTACCGAAATTCAATGTTACTTATCGATGTTCGTATTGCAACATCATTAAACGGAGTTTTTTTTTTTTTTTTTAAATAAGGTTTTAATTTTATTTTTTCATAATAATATTACTTTGTCAGTTACATCCACAGTACCCAACCACTTCCATAAATTGGAAATATGAAATCAATTTTTAATTTATTACACAGAAACATGAACAATTTAAATGTACTCTAGAAACAATGGTTTTCGAATTTCTTGAACAACGAAGAAAGTAACAAAAAATTTAAATATCTAATTATATAGCACATTGATTAAGTAATAGTAACATGAACAGTTCGATCCTCAAGATTATATTGTGCACAGTAACATCGAATTTCGAAAAATAGATAGTAAAAAACCAAACAATTCAAAAATTGATGTTAATGTCATGAACTAATGGTAACACATTGTTAATGGTTGATTTAGGACAGTTAACACATCTCATCTTCACTAATAAATTTTAAAAATTTCTCCCACAGTAACATGAGCAATTCTAAAGAAACCACATCAATCAATTTTGAATGTATTACACAATGAAAAAAAAAAATCATAATACCCAACTTTTTAATATAGTATCAAGAAATGACAATTTTATTTAAAAAAAAAATCAAAAGTATGAACGGTATAGTTTGTAAATCTTGTTTTAAAACCCTAAAACAAAAATCAAATATCATGTAAATTAACATACCTATCTATTATTTAAAGAATCCAAAGCCCCCAAATTTCGCAATAAAAAATGCAGGAGGTAAAGTTGGGATAAAAATGGGCCTATATAATGGGTGGACCAAAAAAGCTAGGTAAATTGGACTGCTGGGCCCTAAAGTTGGTCCATACAATAGGTGGACCGAACAAAAAATTTAGGCCTTAGTTGATAATGGAATAGGGAAGTTGTTTGACTCAAAAATATTGTTGGAGTTTTTACTTTTCCTTATAAAATAATTAAATTATACTGATTTTTATTAGAAAAATATGCTAAATTTGAGAGAGGTACGTTTATTAAATAAAGGGAGTCTTTCCATTAAGGAGAGGCAATACACACGACGACACAAAGACCCTAATTTTGAAAAATGTGATTCTTCCCTAGGAAAGAGCCATTTGGTGCGTTAAGACACAGTTCAAGATCATTTGGACGAGAGAAAGCTACTGAAAATTGGATTCCAAATAAAAAAAAAAAAAAAGAAGAAAAGAAAATCAAAGAGTTTGGTGCGTCCGGACGTGACTAACGAAGAATTGCGGATGATCCACTTGCGTCTAGATGGAAGCTTCCTTTTGAAAGGCCAGTTGGTCTTTGAATTGTATTAGGTTTAAACTTACCTAATCTCCTATAAATATTGTGTTAACCATAATGGGGGGTCATCCACCTTCTAAGTCTCTTTTCCTAGTTTTTGTTGTAACATTGCTTATGGATTACTAAATTATTATAGTTAAGTGGTAATTCTTTCAATAAAGCATAATATATATCTTGATTCAATGTTCTTTTACGCATGACTCTTCTAATTAATTGATTTTTATGTTTTAATAAACTTTTTCCTCTTTAAAATCTATTAATTTGTTGTGTCACGTATATCAAATACTTTAAATTTTCTGGGAGTCAAATAACTAAATTTGTATGCTTGAATCAATTAACTAAGATTTTCATAAAAAATAATTGATTTCTTATTTGGTATAAAAATAGGTTTTAATTGTTGAAAAGTTTGATTCATTGTCGATTTTGAGTATAGTGAATACTTGTGATCTACAATTAATTACTAATTTTTACAATCAATTTATCAACTATATCTTTGGGATTTGTTTTAAATACTATCACTGTTAAATCTTTCAATTAAGGTCACTCCTCAGCTGATTCTTAATTAAGTTTGAAAATCGAGTCAGATCAAATACTGTGTGTAGTTCAAAGAGAATCCCTGATGCTTTAGTATTTCTCATCTATTATTTTCAATCAAAATTTAATGTTTTTGTATACAACTAATTTCCTCAATATTCTCAAAGCCATTTTTCCTTTATTTTCACTGTGTTTTTTGGTTTTCAACAAATTTTTTGTGATACGACCTTGAATTCCCGAGTATTTATATTGTTTCATGACAACATATGCTTGGGTATTGTATTATTAAAGTTGTAGCACTTGTTTTTTCTTTTTTTTGGTTCAACGGTCAAGAATATTCGAGTCAACATACACGCACCTCGACTAGTCCTTTCTCTAGTCTGGTCAAAGGCTAATTATTCATGCCAGGATTAAAAAACGTCTGAATTTATAATTTATTTTTGTTAACACTTAAGCTACCATGGATTGTAGCACTTGTTTTCATTATAGTAAGAGATTTTTGAAGTTGAAGAGCAAGGTAAGCTCTAACTGGATGGTCTGAATTGGCTTCTAAAAGCAGCAAAATTCTCATTTTAGAAGGAAGTATGTGATTGGTCCCAAGCTTAAAGCACTCTAATGGCTTGTTATCTTGGCTTTTCCAATTTGATATATAATCAATAAATTCATATAATTCTGAGGAAAAAGAGGTCACCTTAGAACCATAGACATTTAGTGAAATTCAATTTTTTTTCCCTTTGTAATTATCAAAAATTCAACATCCACCAGATTGAAGTGAGAATAGATATAACCCTTTGAACTTTGGGCTGTTGCTTGTGTGCCATAGGATCTCAAATACACTCTAACACCACCAAACCCAGTTCAAAATGTAAGGCCTCTCAGTTCTTGAGCATTTATGATTATAACAAAGAAACATTGCACTTAAATACATGTGCAATTGAAGCTACAAAATATTAGAAAATTCAGTTCTTCAGATGGCTTTGATAAAAGAAACCACTTATTTGCCTTCCTTGAATCTACTTATTTTGGATAACAAAATCACCACAAACCTCCCACTTGCAAAGCTCCTTGACAACACAAAGATACAGAATCTGCTCCATAGAGTTCCACCACAATTTTTTTTTCTTCTCTGTTGATCCCTACAGACATCTTCCTCCATAGCCTGCATTTCTAAATAATGCCTGCTTTATGTCTTCTGAACTTACAATTGCTCTCTGCTCCAAATCCTATCACCGTTACCATTCAAATAAAAAGTAAATTTAGTCTATCACTTGTTTAGTAAGAGCCAATTCCATCTTATCATAATGTTCTAACTCTATTGCTTCAATCTCCTACTTTTCAACTTATTTTTTAAACTATCCTTGTTTTTACGAGAGCGTGAACTTGTTTCGCAATCATGCTTTCACATTGAAAAAAGTAGCTTTGAATTACGCTCTTATAGACAGAGGAGTAGTTTGAGAAATAAGTTAGAATTTATGAAAGGAAGAAAATAAAGTAGGAAAATTTTGACAATTGGGGAAAAACTAAGGCCTTTTTGGTTTTCATCTAAAAAAAAAATAAAATTCAAAAACTGTTTTTGAAAAGAATTTTAGAAAAATGTGTTTTGGTGTTTTTTGTGTCATATAATTTATTTGGTTATATGATTCCAAAAACAGTTTTACGGAATAGAAAAGTAGTAAAACTTTTTTACACAGTAACCCAAAAAACAATGAAAACAAAAATGTGGTAGTGGTGGAGTGTGGTGGTGTTGTTTTATAAATTCTATAAAGATTGTTTTCAAAAACACATAAAACAGTCGTAACTTGTTTTTTAAATTAACCCACTTTTTGTTCTCACTTTTCAAAAAACAAAAATAAAAAACAACCGTCTAAATAACTTTTCTCTGAAAAACTGTTTTTGATAACAGAAAAACAGTTTCTGTGATGGAAACTAAACATGGCCTAAGTTTGTTAACTTAATTGCATTGTACAATTGACAAGTACACCAGAACAAAAGGCAATAATAATAAGATATTGTACCTCTGAGCAAGAAGCTTGCATTGCAAAGTCATTAAAACAGCTCATAACACACTGCTGAATCTCCAGGCCTAATGCCTCTAGTGTGGTCACAGTTGATAGCAACAAACCTGGCTTCCCTGCACAACAAATCTCAATCCTGGTGTCCATATTCCTCCTTTCCACATCAAACTGCCAAAAAAATAATACAGGAACACCCTATTCAGAATTCATATAATGTGGAGCTTGGCTTAGCTTACAGGCCTTAATTGGGAAAATGCAGAAATTATACCTTCGGAGAGTTTCTGACAAGAACTTCATTAGGCTTCACATCTTTGAAGATGCTCAATAAGTTAAGCTGATTTGAACCCACTGCAGTTTCTTCTTGTAAGTTGTTGATTCTCTCTAGGAGCTCTTTCATGTAATCTATGGTGTCTCCAAGTATTGATGTTCTGTCCATCTATCAAGATAAGTATTAAAACAAGCAAATTGGCCACCATAAATACATGAATTTTAGACTGACAATGCAGAAAATCATCTGGCATTTCTAGAAATGGCCTGCAAACTCAACATGAAATCGATATGAACCCATTTATATACAATTATATATAAATAAATTGGGTATAAATTGAGCAAATTTTAATAAATTGGGTATAAATTGAGCAAATTTTAACACGACAAGAAGCAAAAGATTAAGAAACAGAACACGGGATGATCTCATTGACAGAAAAACAACAAATCAATCTCCATTTTTACCTTGCTAATCTTAGGGACAACTGATCTGAGCATCGAAAGGCGGTCATTCAACCGTTTCCTTCGCCTTCTCTCAGCCATTAGGTTCTTTGATGGCTGGCCATCCAACTTCTTGACCTTGTTCTTTCTTTCTGGGCACATACCCATGTTGAAAGTGGGTACTTCAGTAGATTGGATTGGCTCCACTTTACATGGAGCTTGCAACCCCAGTTGGCCAAAACCATTGCCTGCTTGACCTTGCTCTTCACCATCTATAATTGACAATGAGTACTCTTCTTGAGTAGGAAAAGGTGGTGTGTCAAGCTTGTTACTGGATGAATCAGTGATCTCTGGAGCTGAGAATTCATCTCCAAATGGGTGGTGGAAATCACTGTAGGAGCCATTTAGTGTTTGATCAAATGCCAAAGAGAACTCTTGGAAGTAAGAACTGTGAGGAACAGTAACTTGGGCTCCATCAAAACCATCAAAAGTACTGCATTCATTAATGTGGAACTCATTCATTCCTAAAGGAATTGTTGTTTCCCAGGGGTCACTTCTCAGAAGTAACTCCTCCAGGTAACCATGGTTACTGTACTCCATATCTCTCTCTCTCTCTCTCAAAGTTTAGAGCTAATAAACAAAGGATGCACCTTGACAAAATGAAGTTGCACCAAGTTGAAGAATATATAGGAACAGAAATAGAGGAGGTAGTCCCTTCATTGGAAGCGTATTATAGTATGTATTACGGTGTGTTTATTATAACCTACTGCCTAAGACTGAAATGGAATCTGCTTTTTCATCTCTCTTTTTCTCTCTAGGTGATTTCATGTCTTTTTCACCGAAATCTGCTATATCAAACAGAGTTAGTATTTATTTGGAATACTCTGAAAACTTTGACCCACATATCTGTCTCAACCGAAAAGGTTTGAGGTAGCATCATAGACCTGTCAGGCAGGTTCTTTGTATGCATAAACTTCTGTAGTATTCCCTCTCTCTCTCTCTCTATGGTATGGGGAAAATTGCTGAGCTGGGACCCATTTGGAATGCCTCTAAATTTTGGCTCAGTTCACAATTTCAAATGAGTTGGTGGTCCTGTTGATTCTTTCTCACTTTTCTTATTACGACACATAGAATAGATTTGTCTATTTTTTGTCTTGATTAACTGCATTAATCAATCCATTTATCCTTAAGTTCTTAGTTCCGGTAGTCAGGACTCAGGATTGATGACATCTATGATCTATCTCATTCTCTTTTTCACCTGGCAGAACAATAACAATTAAAATAGATCATAAAAAGACAACACCACATTATGTAATTAAACACACTCATATGGTACTGGCCCAATAATGTTTCTTAATCAAGCCATTTTGGCTGTTTTTATATGTCTTATCGAGTACAAGAACACAAGTATGGGAGATACCCATTTATTTAACAGTATTTACACTATCGTCGTCGACATGCTTTAAGATCAAGTGTTAAATCTATTCTTGACCATTTTTTTAGCTGCATTCTTTGGATGAAGAAGTTTATTAGAGTGGGCCATTTTTGTGCGGGGCATCTTGTACATGTAAGCTTACATATTCCATTTCTCCCATAGGAGTCTCACGGCCCTACTCGATTCACTATGATAACAAGATGTTTGCTATCATTGTTGTTACCATTATCACAATTGTTCTTATTTTCATTTCTCTTGGTAGATAAAGCTTGAATGGAGTAAGAACTAATAACTCTAGAGGCTGCAACAAGGGTTCAATCAAAATCGAGCTACAGGTTTGGCTGCCCTACTTCTTTTTTGTTTTTATTCTTACTGGGAATCTTATATATATGTAGCTCACTCATCCCACATGCACAAAACAATTACCGGGGCAAGTCTCTAGAGTGCACCCAAGTGAACATTCAAATCGGTTATCTCAAAATTAAGAGCAATGTTAAATAGATTTAAAAATTAAATTTAATAATCTTAACCATTGAATAGGCAGTGAGTCACAATAAATACTAAAATCAATAATTCAAATTACCAAGTCTACTTTTTAAATTCGTGTAACATTACTCGAAACTTAGTATGTATATTCCAACCACTAACGCCGCATTACTTCTTATGATAGGCGAGTTTCATGTTTAATTACTGTCCGTTAGATGACAATAAATCATCATTATCATCGTGGTCACCATGCTAAGCATAATCAACATTTTCGTCTGCAAAGTAGAGGACTAGAAGCAAGCTACAATTTTTCTTCTTGAAAGTTGTGTCCTGCGCCGGTTCCTTAGTAACAAGAGCCTAAGGCCGGATTGAATGGGACTATGTTTGTACTTTGTACTATTTACTATTTACCTTAATAAAAGGTGAAATAAAAATAGGTTCGATCTGCATTCATCAGTTGCATAAAATACCTACACTGGAACATATACATAGGTCAAAAATATCTATATAATAAAAGATATAGTAATTTGAATTTTTATTCACTGCATATTTTTTTCTTTAAAAACATCACGTCACTCATTTCAATCACATATTTAATTATTTATATATTTTTCCCCTAAAAATATCACATAACTCATTTAGTATACACATGTTGAAAAATTTTAATATAGTGGTATCAATTTTTTGGATGCTCAAATTTGATATATTATTGTACTTTTAGGCATGAGTTATGACCAGTATGTATATGTATAGGAATGTTAATAGAGACAAGTTACTCGGAATCGGTTCAGATAAAGTTTGGTTCAAGTTTGACTCGTGTTTTAAATAAGTTAAGTTTGAATAATTTTTTAAGTTCGTTTAAAAAAATAAGCCTAAAAATTCGGATCAAATTCGCAAAGCTCGACTCGTTTATATATAAATTAGTCGAGCTATTTGAGTTAAGCTCGATTTCTAAACGAGCCGACCTTAAATAATTCTTTTAGGTTTGTTTAAAAAAAAAAGCTCCTCAAGTTTAAGCTCAAAGTCACAAAATTTGACTCAATTAACACCCCTCAAGTAAATAAAAAGTTTGTATTAAATGCTTTCCAAAAGATAAAAATTATGAAATTAGACAATATTCTTAATTGACAAGTCATGAGTAACAATAGTCAAATCAATTGTTGGGCACACCAAGCAATATCAAACAATTTATTTTACTTTTATTTTTTTGTTCAACGATTAAAGGTTTTGAAATTCATTTACTTGCACATTTACTAAGTTTCTCCTTAATCTAGTTAAAGGTAGAATATTCATGTCAAAACTAGGATATTCATGAAAGAATCTCTAATAGCCTAGTCCCAAAAAATTGTCAAAATTCAAATTCAAGACATCTAAATTTATATATCGTCTCTGCTATCATTTTACGTATTATGAGATTAAAACATTTGATTTGATTGCCCTTAAAATTAAATGAAAAGAAATGGAATGAGATTGCATAAAAGATGCTAGAAAACCAAAGGCCTTTTGTAGTTTTTGTTTCCTTAAAAATCAAAGATTATTATTATCTTCTTCTTCTTTTTTTTTTTTCGTTTTTGACTTAGAGAATGTGATGAGTATGTACTGTATCTAAAATATTAAAGTGATCAACAAAATAAACTAACAAAAAAAATGTCGGCACCCTTATTTTTCGAAAATCAATGTACAGCATCATTAGAGCTGTCAAATTTGATCCACAAATTTGTTCACCTAGTATTGTTGATGTTGTATATATCTGTTACTTTTTAATTTATATATATAATAAAGTAACTTATAATTTAAATTTTAAAAGATAAACAAAATAATTTTTGTTATTCGCGGTTGAAATCGTTTTAAATTTTATTTTAAAGTTAATCTAACGGTTAATATTAACACCCTAAATTTAATGGGAATAATAGGACCCTAAGGGTGTGTTTGGAGTGACTTTTTAAAATTATTTTTAAAAATTATTTTTCATAAATACTTAAAAAAAAAATAGTGTTTGAAACCATCTTATCACTACTTCTACCACCAATGCCGTTGCCGCCGCCGCCATCACCATCGTCGTCGCCGCTGTTGGCACCGCCACCACTACCACCGCCACCACCACGATCACAACAAACCACCACTACCACCACTGCCACTAACGTCGCCACCCACCGTTGCCATCGCCCCCGCCCCTGCCACCACCACTATCGTCGCCCTCGCCGCCACCACGGTCATTATCACCCACCACAACCATCACTGTTTCTTACCACCACCACTGTCGTCCCACCATCTCTCATTCCACTACAAACCGATACTTAAATTTTTTTATTTTTTCTCTATATTTATTATTTAATTTTAGATATAAATATAAATATATTTTTTATTTTTTATTACTCTGTGCCTTTAGGCACAAACAATAACTAANCCACTGTCGTCCCACCATCTCTCATTCCACTACAAACCGATACTTAAATTTTTTTATCTTTTCTCTATATTTATGATTTAATTTTGGATATAAATATAAATATATTTTTAATTTTTTATTACTCTGTGCCTTTAGACACAAACAATAACTAGTATATCTATATATAATGTCAATGTCACTTCTTTTGAACTTAAAAACAATAGGAAAAAGAAATAGGTTTTTTTTTTTTGGACTAAAAAGAAATAGATGAGAATTCTATACTTACAAATACAAGATGATAATAATGTAGGGNTATCTATATATAATGTCAATGTCACTTCTTTTGAACTTAAAAACAATAGGAAAAAGAAATAGGTTTTTTTTTTTTGGACTAAAAAGAAATAGATGAGAATTCTATACTTACAAATACGAGATGATAATAATGTAGGTAAGATAAACTTGAAGGTTATACACTGTTAAATACGAAACCTCCAAGTGTTTAGAAAATAAAAAAGTCCAAACTTACTGGAAAGGCTACTATAACCAAAAAAATTTAATACTATATTACTATATGAAAAGTTATACACTGTTAAATACGAAACCTCCAAGTGTTTAGAAAATAAAAAAGTCCAAACTTACTGGAAAGGCTACTATAACCAAAAAAATTTAATACTATATTACTATATGAAAAGTTATAACTTTTTACGGTAAAATTACACTTTTAAAGAGAAAAATTACAACTATTCAAGCCTTCAAGGAAAGATCATGATCGATCGTGATCTTTCTGTAAATAATTATTATTTTNGAAAAATTACAACTATTCAAGCCTTCAAGGAAAGATCATGATCGATCGTGATCTTTCCGTAAATAATTATTACTTCTCTCTACTAATAAATTGTAACTTAATTTTTAAAAATTATAACTTAAGTTTAAAAATTATAATTTTTGGTATTGATCCTATCTTGCATGATTGATAATGTCTTTTATAAATTATAATTTACGCATTAAAAAATTATAACTTAATTTTAAAATATTATAATTTTCGGACTCTTTTCCCTAACTTATGAATCAGAATTGGTAAACTAAATTTTAGCTCCATCACTCTCACTGTAAGGATCTCAATTATTCTGACAACCTAATGAACAGTTCACAAAGCTATTTAACGTTATTAGAGGACAAAAGAACATGACGCAAAACCATGCAAACGAGCTTCAAAACCGCGGCGGATCACCATGCAAACGCAAACACCTTCAAAACCACCCATGCTATCTATACTAACCCGGCTTTGTCAGCCCACAATATCAACTCAAAACCTCTCTATCTATCTCTCTCTGGTCTTTGTCTTGTAGTGTTTTGTTTGGTTGCTCTTGCTCTTGCTCCCTCGTTAGGGTTGCGCTTTAACTGGAAAAGAAAAATATACTATGACCTAGTTATAGAAAGCCTTGCTCTAGAAAGGGCAGTAGCAATCTTCTTGCTATTTTCACGACAGACCCACATGCATATGCACAGTTATGTGAATGGGGAAGAGACTACTTCCATTGATTGTATGATTTATCTTCCTTATTTAAGCTTTGGTATTGGCCTTTTGTGTATGTCTTTGCCTTGTGAAAGAGGGCAAGAGAAAGAGACGCACAAAAATTGACGTACTGGGTCATTTCATAAGAAAACCCAAGTCTCTTCATCACAAGCAAACGAACCAAACCCAAACTTATATGGTCTAAACACCATTGAAGACGTGTTATATAATGTAGCCACTTATATTTGGCCCCGCACGGCCCTACGCAGCCGTCACTCTTAACAGTCCTAGCCGGACCTAAGTTAATGTGAGGGACTACATTAGTGCAATGAGGGAATTATGAGGATTAAATTGAAGAAATTAAAAGTTTAAATACTAAAGTTCAACGAATGATAAAAACTTGGGGACTATTGGTGCAATTTATCTTAAAAACTGTTAAAGTGACCGGCAGTAGAATCCTTCCAAAGGCGACGGGCAAATTAAAGTGATGAGTTCATTTTCATTTCTCCTACATGTGGTGTCACAGGGACTTCGCTGTGCCAGTTTTCATATGAATCAAAAAGTAGACCTATTGGGACTCAACTATATCTCAGTACCTAGTTAAGGTCGACAGGATCACAAGAGTCCAGAGTCGTTTCGATACGTACTAAGAACATGTCATTATTGAAGATCAGTCCAATTTTGGTGCAGCATTTATATTTAGTTTGGCCCCCCATCTTAAGCTAGCCTACGGTCCATTTTTTTTTTATTACAACTTATTTATGTTTGTATCAATTACGCTCTTGAATTTAGCGATTGATCACCGTGACTTAAGTTAAANCATTTATATTTAGTTTGGCCCCCCATCTTAAGCTAGCCTACGGTCCATTTTTTTTTTTATTACAACTTATTTAGGTTTGTATCAATTACGCTCTTGAATTTAGCGATTGATCACCGTGACTTAAGTTAAATTAGAGCATATTCTTATAGAGACAAATGTTACTAACCTTTAAAGAGTGTGGGACATAATTGAACTTGAAACATCTGAATTATTAAAGATCAGGTTTAACCACTGATCCACACTTAAGGGATTCGTTTCTTCCTTTTTCTTCTTCTGTCTTTCTATAAAATCTTTCAAAAGAGTATCATTGTTACATTGAATATTTATTCCATCGAAAGGGAGTTAATTTCAATTCTCGGGACACTTGGCAAAGAAGAAACAATTTCTTTGGGGGTGGGCTTGGTACTTACGGATTAGACAAAGCCCAGTTCTAAGATTGTAGAAAGCTTCTAGATTCTAACCCAATCGAGTCTTAGTTTTGCATAGTCCAACCCACAGTTTGCCGATAGCACTCAATGTCACTCATTCTCTCTCTCTCTTAGGAGAGTACCATTCAACAAATTTTTTAAAAAAATATTTCATTCAGATTTTTGAGGTTTTATAAAGACGGTAATGCCTTATTATTTTAGTCATGATTACATGAAAACTTTTGCCAATATACTTGGTGAAAATTTGTCAATGAAATACCACCGAGGGATCGGTCCAATGGATATGGACTTGAATTTTTTTGTTTAATGTTTGAATTCGAATCACCATAATTATGATAAATCTATGTGGCTAAACTTACTTTTTAGCATTCAGAGCACACGGTACAACTTTAACTTCGGTTCTAAAGTAAGTGCAGTGTGATCTCTTTCTGATAATTTTGTGGTGTTGAAAGATAATGTTCCTTGACAGATATGTTGAGTGACCTATTTATATATCCATTTTGATGGTATTTATAAAGCCAATAATGCAAGCTTTGGTTGAGGATCAAATGGTTCACAAATGCACGAGTTGAGCTGGATTGAAATTAAGTCTAACCAATCATAAAAGCTGTCTTTTATCATTGTTTTTTTTATAGAAAATAGATTTATTTTTCTTTCTTTTTTAGTCAAGTCAATCATTGTATTATTATCTACATATTAGTTTTTTTGATCCAATCCACATATTAGTTAATGCATGGAAAGTAGAGTATATAATAACTTTGAATTGGTGACTCCTCACAAGCGAAGATAGTCCAAAAAAAAAATAATTATATGTGATAAATTTTTATTAGAAAAAAATAGAGATATAGTACCCAAAAAAATGGTATTTTTTTTTGGTTCAATAATTAGGAGTGTCTTAATCACTTTACGCGCACCTATATTAATTCTCTCTTATATTTGGTCAAAGACATGCCATCCACGTCTGGACTAGGGTATTCATGATGAATAAATATCACATAATATGGTCCCAAAAGTAGTTGTCAAAATTTAAACTCAAGAATTTTTGAATTTACAATTTATTCTTGTTTTCTTGAGATTAATTAGTTCTCTTGATTTGTTACATACTCAAATTTGATCACATTATTATTTGTATAATATTTTTGAGTTCTATGTGAGAAATTTTCATGACATAATTTGGCCACAAAATTTGAAAAGAGTAATAAACTTCAAACTATCACATGTGCTTTGGACTTTGGACCAGCTGATCCAATAGAGTGGGCTCTAAGCTGACTTCACCAAGTTCCTGAACCAATAGCCTAGTTGAGGTGTCCCGTCCCCATGTGTGTAGGATAAGCAACTGAAAACAAAAATAAAGAAGCATAAATCACATANAAGTTCCTGAACCAATAGCCTAGTTGAGGTGTCCCGTCCCCATGTGTGTAGGATAAGCAACTGAAAACAAAAATAAAGAAGCATAAATCACATAAACACCTTTTGAATTATGACATTTGTTTTAAATTCTGTCTTGAACTTTCAATGAACAATGTTATTAACCCTCANAAGTTCCTGAACCAATAGCCTAGTTGAGGTGTCCCGTCCCCATGTGTGTAGGATAAGCAACTGAAAACAAAAATAAAGAAGCATAAATCACATAAACACCTTTTGAATTATGACATTTGTTTTAAATTCTGTCTTGAACTTTCAATGAATAATGTTATTAACCCTTAGGGTGGTTAAGTGATTGAATTTGGTATTTGGTAACTCAGATATCTCATGTTCAATTCTTTGTCATACCCTCTAAGAGCTAGTCATCAATTTTCCTTTAAGGACATATTTTAACCAAGATTAAGTCATGATGGCCAGCTACTGAGCTCGAAAGAGTAATGGAGGTAAGCTGAACACCTATAAATAAATAAAAAAAANCTTTGTCATACCCTCTAAGAGCTAGTCATCAATTTTCCTTTAAGGACATATTTTAACTAAGATTAAGTTATGATGACCAGCTACTGAGCTCGAAAGAGTAGTGGAGGTAAGCTGAACACCTATAAATAAAAAAAATAAAAAAAAAAGATAAACATCATTCAAACCCCCTGAGTTTTGTCTTATTAATACAGATACCCCCTTCATATTTTATTAATTATAGTGAGACCCCTATCAAAAATGGAGTTAACAGAAGTTGTGCAATGACAAGAATAATCCTTACTAAATTAGAATATTGTCAGTCAAATCACAATGTTTAAAATGACATAAGTATCATATTTGACTAACAAAACCCTAAAAAAATCGAAACCCTTCTTCTAAAACCCGTCGTTTGCCACNAATGACATAAGTATCATATTTGACTAACAAAACCCTAAAAAAATCGAAACCCTTCTTTTAAAACCCGTCGTTTGCCACACAGAGAGAGAGAGAGAGAGAGAGAGATTCAACTTCTCTAGCCTAGAGTGAGTTAGATCTGGTACGTAAAACCCCAAATTTAGTGAGAATCATAGATTCAATTCAAACCTCTAGCCCCAACAGATTGAATAAAATCCTAACTTTCCTTTTTAGAATCATCATTGCATGTTTTTGAATCTAACCATGTTCAAAACCCCAATTTGTCCTAAATCTAATCTTGTTCACACCTTTTCAAATATTTTATGTAATCCCAATTATAGGTGTTTGAGCCTTGACAAATGAAAAATTTCCACGAGTGATAGTAAATTCTTATAGTCATAGGAATTAGAAAATGACACCTACAAGTTAAAACTAACTCATGACTATTGGAGACTGATGGCCGTTGATTCTCTTGTAGTCATTGGTAAGTATTATGCCTTCTATGCAATGTTTTTTTTTGTTCAATGAATTTTTGGTTTGATGTAAAATTGCAGTTGGGTTTTGTTTTTGAAATTTGGGTTGAATTATTCAGGTTCTAAAAAAAATGATGAACTTGAGCATGATATAGTTGTCCATAGTAGTGATACCGTTGTGAAGATTTATGGAATAGACCAAGATGAGTACTATCATATGGATTTGGTAGTCGATATTGACAAAGTATTACTTGGTGGTATACAACAAAATTTGGTGATGTATAAAATCACTATAAATAGGTCAAATGACGATGGGAGAATAACAATTGATGATGATAAATGTTTAATTTGTATCGGAGCAGTAGAGATTTGCATATGGTAGGACACATGTTATTTTTGTCTGGAATACAGAATATGAGCATTTTCACTGAAAGAATCCAATTATGTAACACTTTTTTGTCACTGCCCAATTCTATATAAAATATTACACCATTTTGTCATTTGAGTTGAACATGAAATACATAGATACACAATGAAATACAAGCTCTTGCATAATCAAAATATAGGTTCTTACATATCAGGTTCTTGCATAATCAAAATACTAGAATAACATAACTTAAAACTTGTTAATTAACATCATCATAAGGATTATGATAAGGGCAAACATAATAATCAATGCAATGACCAAGATCTTCATCACAATATGGTTGCCAGTTATCACGACAACCCTTGCATTAGGGACAGAATAGTCTAAGTCTAAACTATCAAATATTGGCCTTATTCCATGAAGCAAAAAATTCACATGAGCCTTTGTCACATGTAAAGTATAATTTTCCTTTGCTTGGTTTTTCTGACTCGACAATCCTGATAATGACTTTCTTTTGACAATTGCATTGTTTTCCAATGAATCTTAAATCAGGCTTCTCATGTCCATCACTTGTACCTTCAACTCTAGTTGTGTTTGAGAATGACTTTTTTTTTCCTAAATTGGCACAAAGTAAAATAATATCAACAAAAATAACGTGCACATTTGTGGATTTCACTAATCCCCTTTCAGTTATGTCAATAAAACACATAATCCCTCTCTGATCTTATATGTTGTCACAAGCAAATCAATAATAGGTAGAGCTTTGGGAATAGTAGGTTCCAAAGTTCTTCGCACNCTTTCTTTTGACAATTGCATTGTTTTCCAATGAATCTTAAATCAGGCTTCTCATGTCGATCACTTGTACCTTCAACTCTAGTTGTGTTTGAGAATGACTTTTTTTTTTCTAAATTGGCACAAAGTAAAATAATATCAACAAAAATAACGTGCACATTTGTGGATTTCACTAATCCCCTTTCAATTATGTCAATAAAACACATAATCCCTCTCTAATCTTATATGTTGTCACAAGCAAATCAATAATAGGTAGAGCTTTGGAAATAGTAGGTTCCAAAGTTCTTCGCACAATGGAAATTGTAGTGAGAGTTGTGTTGTGTTTTTAAAGTGTATTGAGGGATATAATAATCTTTTTATTATTTTTTTTGGAGAAACTTTAATATATAATACTTAATCTTACCATTGAGGGCTAATTTTGGAATTACAAGAATTTTTTTAAGGTGATGTCACCCTTTTTCGTTTTAATTACAAACGATCATGGAACGGAAGGGGTGTCCGTGTAACGAGTTTCAAATGTGAAGGGGTCTCACTATAATTAATAATATATGAGGCGGTGTCTGTGTTATTAAGACAAAACTCAAGGGGTCCGAATGATTTTGACCCTAAAAAAAGAGTAATAGTATTGAACCTTAAAAAATTGACATAATGACGTGACAGTGATATGGTCTAATATTATTATGACGAANAATGTGAAGGGGTCTCACTATAATTAATAATATATGAGGCGGTGTCTGTGTTATTAAGACAAAACTCAAGGGGTCCGAATGATTTTGACCCTAAAAAAGAGTAATATTATTGAACCTTAAAAAATTGACATAATGACGTGACAGTGATATGGTCTAATATTATTATGACGAGAACTATTAAACTTTTTCATTGAGACTCTATTACTTGTCACATTATTATGCCAACAAATTAAATTAATTTTTTAAATTTTAATAACATTACACACTTTCAATTATCCCAGACAAAAATTCCATTAAAATTAGCCATTAGTTTGACTTTTTAATGTTTAATCTTAATAGAATGAAACAATTGAAATAAATTACATAGTTAATAGGCAAATTAAAAAAATTAANGCCAACAAATTAAATTAATTTTTTAAATTTTAATAACATTACACACTTTCAATTATCACAGACAAAAATTCCATTAAAATTAGCCATTAGTTTGACTTTTTAATGGTTAATCTTAATAGAATGAAACAATTGAAATAAATTACATAGTTAATAGGCAAATTAAAAAAATTAGAAATTTAAGAAATAATTTAAAATAAAGACCATAATTTAACGAACAATTTATGCGCTTGAGTGCTTAATTTTTGTGTGTTTATGATCAATTTTTGATTTTGTTTTTTAGTTGTACGCTGCGTCGGTATCGCTGGACACCAATAAAGAAACAGCACAAAGAAAGGCAAACGTAACACGCNTTATGCGCTTGAGTGCTTAATTTTTGTGTGTTTATGATCAATTTTTGATTTTGTTTTTTAGTTGTACGCTGCGTCGGTATCGCTGGACACCAATAAAGAAACAGCATAAAGAAAGGCAAAAGTAACACGANAATTTAAAATAAAGACCATAATTTAACGAACAATTTATGCGCTTGAGTGCTTAATTTTTGTGTGTTTATGATCAATTTTTGATTTTGTTTTTTAGTTGTACGCTGCGTCGGTATCGCTGGACACCAATAAAGAAACAGCACAAAGAAAGGCAAACGTAACACGCTCTACAAGGTCAATTCAGATAGGTGGGGAATAACCATAGGAATAAACTCAGAGACTAAGGGCATCTTTACCGGTACTCTTCATAATAATTATTTAAAATATTATATTTTTATTTAAAAAAATTATTTTTATAAAATTATTCCAAGTTCTTTATTTTAATTAATTATTATTAATATTTTAAGTCAAAATATTTTATAACTTGACACATCATCAAAATGTAAAACAACTATCCCTTTGAAATACAAAAAAAATTATTTGACCCTCTAAATATAAAATAGCTAGTCATGGAGACTATTCAGATTATCATTTAGTTCAACNATTATTTAAAATATTATATTTTTATTTAAAAAAATTATTTTTATAAAATTATTCCAAATTCTTTATTTCAATTAATTATTATTAATATTTTAAGTCAAAATATTTCATAACTTGACACATCATCAAAATATAAAACAACTATCCCTTTGAAATACAAAAAAAATTATTTGAGTCTCTAAATATAAAATAGCTAGTCATGGAGACTATTCAGATTATCATTTAGTTCAAATATAAAATAACTAGTCTATTAAAATAACATATGTCAAATAGCTAGTCGGTCAGAGGTGTTCTACCGACCGAATCAGGTGGGGGAGAGAGAGAGAGAGAGAGAGAGAGGGAACAATTTACACACGGCGCACGCCAACGTCCCCCAGTAGCCATGACCATTTATTCTTGGACTAGTTTAACAAACCCCAATCCCTTTTTAATAACCACAAACACAACCACAGCCACAACCACCACTTCCCGTTTCGGCCATATACGCTTCTGTCTCCGAGGTCCCTCTTATTCTCGAGCCGTACCTCCGATTCGGTTCTCAGTTCTCTGCGTCTCCTCTCTCTCAGGTAAATCCTCTCTCTCTCTCTCTCACTCACAGACGTACGTGTATGTATAGGTGTATATTGAGAATAATGGCGATGAATCTTGATGAGAAGCGGAAATGTTACTGTGCATAAGGTCGTTTTGAATGATACGTTCGGTATAGCTCTGATCGCAATATGATGAAATGATCTCTTAATGTGTGGTAGATTGAGTCATATATGAATTTCCAGATTTAGTCATAAATGCATTGTTTGTGTATCTATCATTGGCTTCGTCGGAGACAGTGTTCTGCTGGATCATGAGTTTTACATTCTCTTGGAGAGCATTGTAACAGAGCAGCAACATTAAGATTTCTTATCTGTGTGTATGCGTGTGTATATATATGTTGTGTGTGGATCTAACTTCGTCTCATTAGGTATCTATATTTGATTATTTTAATTCTGGAGCTTTTACATAGTGTAGAGTTTGGAGGTATGAGAATGGATCTAGGACATTAATGCGTTATTACCATTGTAAGTAGTTGTAAAAGGTATTAATATGATTATGTAAAAAAGATAATTTCAGGGAAAAAGCATATCAATGTGGCAAAGCATTTGGTATAAGTGCAGCTTGCTGCAAATATTATGTGGAATTAAGATTACCATCTGATTTTTCAAACCTTTGGAAAGCTACCTGTATAAATCATCCTTGTACACTTTATTCTGTTCTACTTTTTCTTCATAAAATTGTTCGTAGGTTCTTAGAATAAATTTCTCTCTATCTCCACGCAAAATTTGTGATCACTTTTTCACTTGGCATTTTTGAGAGCTGCTCTATTGATTGTCCTCTTAAGTAATCAGTACATCAATTTATATTCACTTGCAGATATGGATGCCGCTGCAGGTCAAAGTTTGTATCCCTTGCACCGGTGTAAAACAATTCACCTGGTTTGTGCCACTTTTGTTCCTTTTTTGGCCCTGTTTCAATTATATTAAAAAAATTCATGGCCTGAGGATTTAAAGCTGCATGATATTTGATATGGATGTTTTTTCTTGGTTTTCCATGTTCACCATAAAAGTGTTTTGGTCATGACTGATTTTATTTTTATGCAGGTGAGGCATGCTCAAGGGGTTCACAATGTAGAAGGAGAAAAGGACCATAATGCATACTTATCACCTGAACTTTTTGATGCACACCTAACACCTCTTGGCTGGCAGCAGGTAACAGCCAGTGAAAATGGTTTTTTGGGTCATGAGTCATTATGGTTTGACTGTCAGTTTGTTAATTGTTGTAATCATGCACAGTGAAAAAAAATTCTTTCAGCAGCCAGGTTATATCTACCTAACCTAAGCATAGAAATACAGTGGTTGTAATTAGTAATGTTGGGTCTTTCAGTGAAGAAGCCATCTTGATAAAAAGTTGAAGCACTCCTCTACCTGTTCATTTCTTATTCCAGCGTTTTTATGACTATTTTTGTTTTATAAAAAAATGTGTTTCATAATAACTTAAAGGTATTGTGACAGGTAGACAATTTGCGCAAGCATGTTCATGCATCTGGACTTTCCAAGAAGATTGAATTAGTCATCACTTCCCCTTTGTTGAGGTATCAATTTCTAATCCTTGTTAAAGACGTTATGCAAATCATCTCCTGAAGTTTTTTTGTAGCTTTTACTTATCCAGATAAAAGTAAAGTTTTCTCTGTTGTTTGGTGGCTGGCAAATTTTCTATTTGTTTTTCAGTGGATTCGAGGATGACACACTGGTTGTGCATATGTTTCAAACTTGTGATTCTTTTCCAGTTGTCTATAAATTCAAATGAAGTTAGTCTAATCCGTGCATTGTTTTATTCTGCATATTTTTCTTTGATATTCAATTATTTGATAAGAGAATGAATCTTCTTTGCTTAATTGGTTCTATCTTAGATATAATTCTGATGAAGGATTAGCCTTTTCAATATTTTCATTCCCTATTATTGAAGTAGGTCAGTATCCCATTTGATGAATTGTAATTAGTCGGAATGCTTAGTATGGGAAGACAAAATTCAAATATATTTTACTGTTTTCCTTTTCTTTCTCTTCTTGAACATCTAAGCATTCTATTGTAATTTGTAATGATTACGTTTTAGGACCATGCAAACTGCAGTTGGAGCTTTTGGGGGTGAAGGTTACAGTGATGGGATTGATGTACCTCCACTAATGGTGGCAAAAGCAGGGAATAGTAGCCGTCCAGCAATTTCAAGTCTAAATTGCCCTCCATTCGTTGCGGTGGAGCTTTGTCGAGAGCATTTGGTATGTGGATTCTAACAAAAGATTGATGCACTCTTATAAAGATTAGGCTTCTTTAATCTTCTTTCCCTTCCAAAATTTCGTGCAGTTGTATGCTTCAACCTGGAATGAGCCTAATCCTCACCACATAGCTAAGTACAAGAATGTTAGGTTAAGCAAATCATGGAACTTCAGAAAAAAGAAAAGAAAAGGAATGAGACAATAAAATAAAGCAGATGTAAGCTAACTGAATAACAGAACTCTTGATATTTTGTTAGACTTTTCCTTTGATCATGGGAAAACAGTGTTCAAACATCAATTTTTTTTGGTTCATATGTGCCATTTCTTTCCCTTGCTTGTTGTGGAATTGGTGTATTGATTATGCACATGGATGGATACTCTCTTCTGGTCTATGTATTCATATCCGTTTTGCCTTCCATCAGATAATAACACTTTGCTCAGCTTTTTTATTAATTTTCTCTATTTGTGGTGATGTCTGAATCCATGAGTCACTTGTGCCATTTATGCAGGGTGTTCATTGGTGTGATAAGAGGAGAAGCATTAGCGAGTATAAGCTTCTTTTTCCTGAAATTGATTTTTCACTGGCAAGTACTTTTTCATAATCATTAGAAACTGGAAAACTTTTCTTCTACTTGATTATTAGCTTTTGTCTGTGTCAATCAGGTTTTGAATAGGTTGGGGGAAAACATTTGTCTAAATAATATTTGATTTTTCAGATAGAAAGTGATGCTGACGTTCTGTGGAAGACTGACATCAGAGAGACAAATGAAGACCTTGCTGCCCGAGGAATGAAGTTTATGAACTGGTATGTTTCTGTTTGAAAAATTTAGTGTTGGAAGGTCGAATTGTTCATCAACCTTGAAGAAGATAGAGTAGTTAAAAGACCTTTTTCAAGTTAACTTAGGACGAAGTTAAAATATGTTTTTTGGGTTTCAAAAATGATTTCTCCTTGTTGTCTTATTCTGTTTTGTATATATTTTGCATTCCCTTATATGAGATTTGTTTAGACCTCTAGTAGAAATTAATGAGTAGATAATGGCAGGTAGTACCATGACAAGCTTCTTGGCAACTACTACTATCCTCTTTCTTCTTCCTTTTTTTTTTTTTTTGTAATTTTTCTTGTAATTTGTCCCAGGTTGTGGACGCGGAAAGAGAAGGAGATTGCAGTTGTTACCCACAGTGGATTCTTAATTCATACCTTAAGTGCATTTGGAAATGATTGTCATCCATCAGTGAAAAGTGCAATATGCAAACCGTATGTATTATATTGGTTTCTTGAGTTTTAATTGCTAGTGAGAAGTTAAATTTTGCTGCTACCTCATATACAACAATGTAATGGGCTATACCAAAACATACGACACTGAAGGCGACTGCCTTAGACCATCGCCCTTCTTGACTGATCATTGATGACATTTGCAATCTTTTTTTGCAGCTTTAACAATTGTGAACTTCGATCTGTGGTGATTGTTGACAGAAGGTAAGTCATTTGCAGTATCTGGAGAATGTGCTCCTTGGTTTTTCCGAAGTATCATGTTCTGATTCTTCATTCTGCAGTTTGATAGGGTCAGATTCCTCAACAACAGACTATCCTGGAAAAATTCCTAGCGGGTCTGATGTCCCAAGTGACGTTGCAAAGTAGAAGCACAGCCGGGGGGGGGGGGGGGGGGGTGTGACAACCAAATTATACATTGAATTGTATAGGTAAATGAAATGAACGGCTCAACACTGCTAAACTATTAATGTCACAACTAACCCACAACTTTTTAATTATANGGGGGGGGAGTGTCCCGGCCATCAGGCTCGAGTAGAAACTAGAAATTGGCCACAGAAATGTAGAATCGAGGTGAGAAAGCAAATAAATATATAATTCATCAAGTTCTTTCCCAAATTTCCTTTCTGATAAGTAGCACCAATCCAAAAAGACGGCAAGAAGAAAGAGATAATCCACCAACCTTCATAATTTAGGGCAACATATCAAGCACACGAGGCCAGTTATTTCCTTACTGCTACTGTGTAGTTTTTATTCTCGATAACACGAAAAGCATATTTATAATCCAGGAAGATGGAAGGGAATTACTCTATTGTCGAAGATCAAGCAATGCTGAGACATAAAAATTTGACCTAATTTATTGATATAATATAATTTCATTGTAATCATTGGATTAAAGTCAATTTTCAATGTTAGATGAGATCCACAATCAATTTAACAATTATGATATATTAAATCAATAAATTAAGTTTCAACAGTGATGCTCAAAGTTTCAACCCCAAATGGAGCAAAAGAAGTTCCTTTCTTGGCAGTAGCATTAACTGTATTGTAAGTGTCAAAAAATTGTTGATACATCTCACAAGAAATTTGATCTGATCTTTTTGGAAAGAAATGTTTCTGAACTATCTTCCGATCTTCTCTCTGCAAAACGAACAAACTGTCCAAAACTGAAGTGCTTCAATCGAAGACACTTCGATGCTTAAGTCAGTAATAGTGTTTAAAGCAATTGCTAGAAGAAAATGAGAGTTCAACGTACCTTTCACCTTGGTTTTCTTTGTTTTTTATAGATGATCATCCCATTAAGGTTTCAGTGATTTTTGATTTAAGGTGACACATCTTCCTTTAATTCAACAATTCAGTTTGGGAAGATGTTGATATTTCTCTAACAATTCCTCCTGACATCTACAATTTCGTTGATTCGTTCATTTAAAATGTCTATGTTAAATACTTATCTTTATCTTTCTATCTTCTGTTTCAAACAGCTCGGTCATAATGAGATCCGAGTACTTTTGATGCTTGTCGAACATATTGATATGTTTGGTTTAATAAAAGCCAAGCTCTTTTATCACTTTGTCGATTATATTGGTCAGTTCGGTTAGACCCATTTGCCCGAGTAACTGATGTCCTCGTTACGTGCCTCGTTTATCAATTTCGCATGAACTCATTTAATACCACAACACGTATAGTAGTGAAAGCAAACCCCTTCATGCATAATAGTTTTTATAGGGTGTGTTTGGGTAATGAATTAGAATAGATTACTAATGTTGTGGGTTCCATACATCTGGTGTTTGGCGAATAAAAATTGAGCCAAGATATAATATTGGATCAAACCTTAACCCGAATGCTATTGTAATTTTTACCTAAGTTACACGAGTTAAATGTTACCCCTCTTTTTTGTTGATAACGTTACTACACACCTTACCCAAGGAACCCGATCGTCACTTTTGTCAAACAACTCGTCAAAACAGACGAATTGCTGGTTGGTGAAGACGTTCACAGGCGACGATCGACTGACTCGAGGTAAGCCTCTCTCTCTCTCTCTCCCTCCTTGTGTGGAGCGAACGACGAGCAGATCTGGTTGATGAGGTACACCCAGATCTGCATCGTCCCATCCTGTCTTTGTAGAACTTCTGCCTTCGTTCGTCTTTGGCGAGTTCCGAAGCTATAAAAATGGACTCTAGGAAATGCTTTGGAGTGTAGGAAATATTTAGATGTTAACAGATCTGCGACGAACAGAGGGTGATAGAAACAGACCTGCTAGTACCCAGTTCACATTTGGTAGAGGCTTAGGAACAGATGTTTAATTTTTGAACCGGGTACCCAGGTGAACTGTTACTAAAAATCTCCACTACCCATTTCACATTTGGAAAAGGTTACGNGTGTTTGGCGAATAAAAATTGAGCCAAGATATAATATTGGATCAAACCTTAACCCGAATGCTATTGTAATTTTTACCTAAGTTACACGAGTTAAATGTTACCCCTCTTTTTTGTTGATAACGTTACTACACACCTTACCCAAGGAACCCGATCGTCACTTTTGTCAAACAACTCGTCAAAACAGACGAATTGCTGGTTGGTGAAGACGTTCACAGGCGACGATCGACTGACTCGAGGTAAGCCTCTCTCTCTCTCTCTCCCTCCTTGTGTGGAGCGAACGACGAGCAGATCTGGTTGATGAGGTACACCCAGATCTGCATCGTCCCATCCTGTCTTTGTAGAACTTCTGCCTTCGTTCGTCTTTGGCGAGTTCCGAAGCTATAAAAATGGACTCTAGGAAATGCTTTGGAGTGTAGGAAATATTTAGATGTTAACAGATCTGCGACGAACAGAGGGTGATAGAAACAGACCTGCTAGTACCCAGTTCACATTTGGTAGAGGCTTAGGAACAGATGTTTCATTCTTGAACCGGGTACCCAGGTGAACTGTTACTAAAAATCTCCACTACCCATTTCACATTTGGAAAAGGTTACANAGTACTGTTGTTTCTGAGGTCAGTTGCTGGGGTGTGGTGGATTGCTATGGGTTTTGGAATGGTTCACTTTGTGGACTAATTTGCTTCTGTGAGGACAAAAATTTGCTAATTCAGTGGTTTTTACTGCTGTTCTAGTTTATGTTTGGGGGTGGAAGTAGGCTCATNAAGTTTGTTTGATTTTATTTGAGAGTTTAGATGGTTTAGATGTTTCTCATTTTCTGCTCTTGCATTGAGTTAGAACCTTTGTAGTGGGGATTCATCTGGTTAGATGGACTTTCATATGCTCCATTAGTGCTAAAAACACCACAACAAGAGTTTTTTGCAGGCTTTGAGTAGTTTATTCTAGTTTTTAGATAGATTGTGGGTCACTTTGTTCTATATGTGTGAATGTATTTTACATAAAAAGGTTTTATTTGTACTGCATGTATGTGGTAGCAATAGGGATTTTTTTTGGACAAACTTTGTTATTGGAAATTTATAACATGGTCAGTTTCAAGTGGAAAAGAGGAGCTTACTTGAGTGTTACATCATTTTATCTGATTTCCAAACGTTGAGTTCTATAAATGATATCTGCTAGTTCATTAGCTTCTCTTGATCAAGATAGAAACTAATGCTCTTTTGTATTTTGCAGGCCCGAGTCATTGGGAATTGTTGTTGGGATTGTCTTTTTCGTCTTGGCAATTTTGTTTCAGTATTTTAACTTCATATCAGATTCAATTGTAAGTATATTATATTCCAATATTGTGGCTTCTTTTCTTTTTTCTTAATCTTCCTTTTGTTTTTAAGTCTGCTAATTTTTTATCATCAATGATTCCATAAATATTTGCATCATGTGTGATAAACAATTGTGAGTATGCTTACTATTATATTGCACACTAAATTGCTCGGTATGGTTCCGTGCTATGAATTTTATATTGCAATGTTTGCTATGAATTCGATAAAGATATTCGTGTGTTTGATCACTCTAGTATTGTTGTATGTTTTTAATGTAGATTTATGTATTATGTTGGATTTGTGGGTTTAATTATGTTGCGTGTGGCGTTCGTTTGCCTTGTTCTTAATTTGTGCTGAAGGTGGTATTTGATTGAATCTGATTCTCAAGTATTAATTCAAATGGTTTTGGGGAAGACAGTGATGCTATTTTGTAATTTTTTCAGTTCATTTTTTGGTGTTTATTTGTTTTGTTTAACGTGTTTATCAAGTCCAGGTAGCAATTCGTATCATACCCAGGTGCTTGGGCAGACAGTCTTGAGTGCTTGCAGTTTCTGATGATTTGCAGAAGGGCTGCAGTACTGTTGTTTCTGAGGTCAGTTGCTGGGGTGTGGTGGATTGCTATGGGTTTTGGAATGGTTCACTTTGTGGACTAATTTGCCTCTGTGAGGACAAAAATTTGCTAATTCAGTGGTTTTTACTGCTGTTCTAGGNAGTTGCTGGGGTGTGGTGGATTGCTATGGGTTTTGGAATGGTTCACTTTGTGGACTAATTTGCTTCTGTGAGGACAAAAATTTGCTAATTCAGTGGTTTTTACTGCTGTTCTAGTTTATGTTTGGGGGTGGAAGTAGGCTCATGAGCTGAATTGTGAGCAAAAGAGTAGTTGTGCTGTGTGAGGTACTTTTAGCAAGTGGGACTATCAGGTCCATTTTGGTTCATGTAGGTAGTCTGGCGAGCTGATCTGAATAGATATGGGACTGTCTCTTGCAGGATGCCTGCTTGACTGTGCTGGAGCTGGTTCTATGCAGCTGTATGGATCAGAAGGAGCTGCTACAGTCATTGTACAGGAATTTTCTGTTTATAGCAGTTTTGATTCTTGTATAAACAGTTTTTACTGTTTTTTCTGTTTAAACAGGAGCTGTTCTTTCTTAGAACAGTGCTGAATTTGATACTGACAGACAATAAAAAAATGGAAGGAATCAAAACTAGTGAATCAAGTTGGGGAAAAAATCAGAAGAACCTGCTAAAGCTAGCTAGGGGAAAAAATCAGATTGGCTGAAATAAAGTATTGATTTGTTTGAAAAAAAATATTATGCTATTATGTATTGACTACTCTATGGAGTTGCGTTTGCCTTGTGAGGTTGCTGCTGCTTTGGGGAATACTCGATCTGTTGCTGCTGCTTTAGTGTTTTGCTGAAAATTTTGAAGATGGAAAGATAGCTAGAATGGAGCTTATGGACTGAGGAGGTGTTTTCCTTATTATTTGGTTTTGCTGTAGTTTTTGGACATTTTACTTGATAAAGCAACTGTGCCTTATTTTTTGTTTGGTTTTATAAGGTCTTGTTTGCTTCTTGTAATAATTCTATTTTTTGTAAATAAATAAATATTTTTCTGTTAAAAAAAAAGATTTGTTTGGAAAAAAGAAATACCAAAATATATATCTATATTTAACTTTCTTTATTTTTATATATTTTTATGTATATGTAAAAAATGTATAATTTTATTAGGCTTGGATGGGTTAACCAAACATAGGATAGGATTGATTTGAATTGGAATAAATAAAATTATGAGTAGAATGATAAACTAACACAAAATTATTTGTGTAATTTATAACACCCACTGAATTATACATTTGTTTCTCAAACAAAACTTAAGATTGGATATAACCTTGGGTTAGGGGTTAAAAGTGGATGAGTGGATTTGACTTGGATGGGTTAGGATATAAAAAAAGAAATCCTATCCTATCCTACCCCATTACCCAAACACACCTATAACTTACAGAATGTGTCAACAGTCAACATATCCCCTTCACAAATTTCGAGGACTTGCAACATCAATATATAATAAAAATTAAAAAAATCATTCAGAAAATCATAAAAGACTTGAAGAAGTGCCCAAAGAGACCGGAACGGGATTCTTGGGTGAAGTTCACTTGTAAACTATGAGGGCCTGAAAACAAAAAGCACCAATCCCACTAAAACTGAGAGGATTAGACCCAGAACAGCAGCCCAGATGTTAAAACCGACTGACTTATCAGATTCACTGTGACTTCCTCGGCATGTATCATCTCTGCTATTCTTTAAGGATGAACAGTCTGGAACAGATGCTGAAGAAAAGGGAACTGCCATTTCCCAAAAGGATTTGGTGGCCAAAGTAGTCGAAGTGGGCGCTTCTGTTTCTGGCTCCAAGATTGTTGATTCATCGATTGAAGCTTCCATTGACATCAACTCAACACAATTGTCTTTAAGAACCTAATTAGATAAACAAACAAAGTTAGAGCGAAAACGGAAAACTACAATACATTTCAAGGATGGGTGAGGAACTTATATTTCATCCACCCAAAAAGATTTTCAATATTTGTATAAAAAATGAAATTCCTCTACAACTTCACATTATTTGAAAAAGTGCTAAGTTACATTGCCCCAATGTTGACATTAGAGAGATTCGTCAAAGCCATATAAGTGCTAATAGTTATCATCTGAAAGCTGTTCAATTCAGGTACTCAAAACTGATCAATCATACAGTTCTGCTCACAAAGAGTCTGCTT